CTGTTCTCCGAGCGAGCGTGTTGTTTCAGCGGCGGATGGTCGGGCGGGAGCGGCGCCACGCGCGCCGAGCTCAGGGGAGAGATGTCGACCCGTAGCGGCGCCTGCTGGACGAGGCGAACTCTATCGACCAATGAGACGCTGCACGGCCCGCGTTCTTCACTGTTCGCGACACCGCTGAGGTACGAGGTCCGGCGAATGTGGACATCAGGTCCCATTCTCTTCAAGGTCTGAGAAGCGACGCTTTTTGGGAGCACTGCACTTTGACACAAGGACGGCGGTGGTCACCAACGAATCCACCGATTGCGGGACGGCTCGACACGGCCACATTTATCCACACCGTTACCATGTAACCAAAGCACGCAACGTAGTGTAGTGGTCAACGCGTCTGCGTTAATCACTGCGCGTCTGGGAAACCAGAGGTACGGGGTTCGATGCCCCGCGGTGCCCGCCCTTCCTGCCAGGGTGAGAGACAGGCGACACCAAATAACCTCAGCAGCTGAGTGCGTCGTAAAGCCGCAATAACATGACGCGTGACAAAGCACACAACACACCTTGAAATCTGCTCATAAGTTAACACGAAACACGGCTGTGTAAGTTTCATGCTAGTAGGTGGCATTGTGTCGCCAAAATTGCTAGGAAAAACTGCAATATGTCGATTTTCAAGAAAACACGACACAATATTAGTAGTCTCATTCCTCGTAAAATGAACGTGAGAATGGAGACATAAATATGACAATTCGGCTACATACCTTTATCAGAACGAATATCAGTATTAAATTCCAATTTGCCCGCCGATCCTTCTAGATTTTTATATCTTTTTTCATGTTATTTTAAATTGCATGAAAAACATGGGAGAACCATGGTCTATGCCGGGGAGGTCATGCGCCCTATTTGTTTGACAGAGAAACCCCCCTCGGCGACCACCTTTTGGTAAAAAAAAAAACACTCGGGCTGAAATCTAAGGAGATATATATTTTTTACCCCTTTTAGAATTCAGTCATTTAGAGAGCATAGGGACATCCAGGCATAAGAATAAGTGAATTTATTCCCATAAAAAGCTGGCGACCAAACCTTTACCGAGAGGGCTCATCATTGCCGATTATGAGAACGTGATAGGTGGCATGATGTGCGATGTGTGCTGGCTTAAAATTGTTTACGTGTGTAAGTAAAGTCTGACGCGTGATGCGCGACGCCTGTTTAATTAAAATATTTTGCATGCATAAGCGATTCGTGATAAGTGATGCCTGTTTATTTGAAAATGCTTACCTGAAATCGTTTGCGTGTATGAATGGTGTGTTTTGCATGATGCCTGGTTGCTTGAATTCGTTTGCGTGTACATGTATTTTTCGCCAAATTCCAGTTCTGGCTAAATGCGTCTATTTATATATATATATATATATATATATATATATATATATATATATATATATAAATAGACACATCTATGTGTATACATATATATGACACATGATGCATCTAATTTTATTTTGCATCATAGAAATAGCTGACAATTGCTTTATATTCAGGCCTCTGAATATTGGTGACCTGTAAAAACTGCGGCCCGCCATCTTAACAAATGCATCGAAAATCGAGTAGCATCGGCATGCAATCTTGAGTTCATTTCTGATTTTCGTTTCAATGAAGGCATACAGCCGAAATGTCACATCTGTCTTTCCATTCTTCCGTTTACTCCACAAAGTATAAGGCTATTAATACTGTGTCATCTAGATGCATAATGTTCCTCACAAGTGCACTTCACATCTTTTTGGAATGTCTTTTGGAATGCCCATGCTTTGAAGAAGTGTGACAATTACCTGCCTAGTTGAAAAGGAGTGTAGTCACACAATATTCAAAGTGTATGGAGTGAGTGTGAATAGCGCATTAGTTTAGAATAAGTTGTGTATATATATATATATATATATATATATATATATATATATATATATATATATGTGTGTGTGTGTGTGTGTGTGTGTGTGTGTGTGTGTGTGTGTGTGTGTGTGTGTGTGTGTGTGTGTGTGTGTGTGTGTGTGTGTGTGTGTGTGTGTGTGTGTGTGTGTGTGTGTGTGTGTGTGTGTGTGTGTGTATATGTCTTATGTGTAAATCCTCACACCGTGCACTCAACGAATACTCACTCAAGTTGCCTCTGAGCGATGCGAAGAGATCTAGCTTTGGCGGATCGTGTGGTAGTACTATGAACATGGGCTTTCACCTCCGGCTTCCAGGCACCAGACTACCGCGACTCCGCTGACCGTCCGCGCCCGTCTCAACGTCGACCTGCATCCGCGCCGCTCGCGCGCCTCCGTGCTGTCGTTCCCTTCCAGCAGCCGTCCAAAAAGTGGGCGGTCCCAGCGACCGTGGGTCCTGAACCGAGGTCCCGAGCAGAGGCCCGGACCCCTCCCCGTCCGGCATCACGGCCCCCTCCCCGCGCCCGGCTGATCAGACCGGCGGCGGCCCGGGCAGTTATCAGTCCGGTTCCGTGCCCAGCGCCTGTCCGCCTCGCCCCAGCACCGCCCAGATTAGGGCCGGGCCATGCCAGGCCGCCGCCCCTCCGGCCGACGCCGACCTGCCCCAATACGGGTGACACTGGGCCCGACCAGATTAATTTGGCAGCGCGCCAGACCGGTGATGACGCAGTCCTGGCGACGTGGCGCCGCTGATCTGACCTTGGGTGACGCTCAAGTGCGAGAATCAATGGTGTCGTGCTGTGAGCTTGTTCATCGTTCCAACTTGCGCATTCCTTTTGGCAGGCGCTGAAGCGCAGTTGCCCTGACGCAGGACGGCCATTAGCTGCTCAGCTGCGCTTAATATAAGTCACTGTTCGATTAAATATTTGTAAAGTTGTACAGCGCAGTGAAAAGGTAAGCTGCGTTCATAAGTCGTGAAGCAAACTAAGACAATGTCACATACGAATTATCTTAAATCATCTACGACGCGTTTATGCCATTCAACCAATGCGTCTAGGCTCAATCGAGGTTCTAGGCTAGTTACTGGTATGCTAAATTTCAGTTGTCGCCAAAGCCAAAAAAACTTCGAGCTCCTAAGGTCAAAACAGCAGGAAGTTCATGGCTTCCGGAAGGTCGAGTATTCTCAGAGCTGTTCAGCACCGTGTATGTCTTCCTCATGGGCGTAGCATGCTTAGCTCCTGAGAAAAGAGAAACGTTTGTAGAGCATTGATTGAACGGATTTGACTGATTTGACTGCCTGATTTGACCTGTCAAAGGCCACATTCACTATTGGTCAGCAATGTTCACCTGATGCAGCCTTGCGACAGCTGTATAGCTTGTTCTTACCGTAGGTTTAGCTTCCTTAATTTCACAATTTTAAATGGCGTAGGAGCTATGAGAGCCCCGACGTCTGGCACAGGTGGAAAGGGCTCCTATGAGGCGAGTGCTTAACAAGGAGCCAATAGTCCACGCTACCCAGAAGGTTGCCCAATCCCCCGATCATATGGCGGCATTCAGCTGTTCAGGAAGTTTGCCACCTACACGCGGGAGTGTCACGCATAAATAATCATAGAGCTTATCATTCTACAGCTTCCTTCAGGACATGGTCTCGGGTTATCACGGGGACGAGGAGCACGAGAGGCAGACCACACATGGCGTCCGTTGTATCTGTTCTCACGAGAATGGAGGGGCATCTTTGCTAAATTACCCTCGCTCAACGAGATAAAAACATCAGCGGACGCCACTCTTCGTGTTTATGCTATCAGGACTTATTTTAATTTCTTGGTTGCCACGGGGTACGCGGGATGGTGGTGCTGTGTAACAGAAGTGCCACATGTTTGAATTGTGCTTTCCTGGTGTGGCCCCCCTTTGGTTGCAATACTGATGATGTGCTCAGGAACGAAACCGACACGTTGCGAGCCGTTTCTCTCATGGGGTGAAGGGAATGCTGTGATGACGCTGATTGATTTTTACAAATAAATCTTGCAATGCTTTCATCCCATGCTTCGAGTACCAAAAAAAAAAAAACATCGATAACTCGCATGTGCAGCATCTGTTTAAGATCTTATTTGAAAGAAATATGATTTAGAACTGAAAGCAATGGTGATGGTTGGCGTACTGCGGTTGCCCATAGCCACGCGTTTCGTTTTTCGTTTGTGTACCCCTTTTCCATGGCGCGCATAGTTAGTGCTATAAATGCAACGCATTGCATTTTTGCACGGTATCTGTACGGATGACAAATCAGCACATTTCAATCTTATTCGCTCAATAGTATTCACCACCAACTCCTATACATGGCTTATTGGGAAAAATTACAAAGAGAGTTACACCCGCAGTGAACGTGATACTACCTGGTGGAAGCTTAATCAAGAGCAAGGTTTTCAGCCCGCCTTGGCAGGACTCTGTTAAACAGGCTAGCCGCGATTAGCGATAACATCTGTAGACAGCGATAAGGTCCTAATGTCTGTTTTTGAGCCAGTACAGAAGCAGAAATCAGAAAACTTGAATTACTTTTAAATCAAAACAAAAAGCTCAGCGCGTGAAAATGGTATGCAAAAACGTTTCCCATTGTTTCAAAACATTATAGTGCGTAAAGTTGGTGGTGAAATAATTACATCAGCAGCCAAATGCGACTTGTTCACCTCTATTTTCAGCTGAAATTTCCACTAATGTGTGATGGTCGCTTCATTCCGAGCGCATTTGTCTAAAAACGAGTGAAAAGCACAAAAGTATAAAATGATGTCGCTCAGTGGTTACCCATGTGCGTAGCAACACTCTGTTTATTTTTATATTCTTAGTTCCGGAGACGTAAGTTACAACACAATTTTGTCCATTCGATCAACCATGTGCGTAGGAGTGCATCAGGTGTATCTTTTGAAGGAAAACATGACCACTAGCTGGTTGCGTTTAAAAAGGCTCAGCGTCTCTTGTGTACAATGAAATAAACCGTCCTCATCAGCCTTCTCCCTGCCAACTTCACGACCAAATGCCGGCACGGCGACCCTGAAGTCAGTGCACACACTTCGGCCCGCCACGTCAGAGGCGGCCCGACCACTAAACGACCGCGTAGGAGGCGAACGTCGCGATACTACACTGGTTGTTCTTGTTGCGGCTCATCTTGACGTAACCGTCGAGGCCCCAGCTGGTGCCCCACCAGTTCTTCACCAGCCAGTAGTCCTTGCCGTCCTCGGTGCCGTACCCCACCACTAGAGCCCCGTGGTTTCCATCGTTATCACGGCAGTAGGGGTCATCGTATACTCCGCCCGAGTACTTGAAGAACGCCGATTGCGTCGCGTCGATGGCCACTGACACGGGGCCGTGGTTGGCGACGGCGTCCAAAAGGCCGGCCTCGCTGCCCCGCGGTACGTCCGTCCAGTTGCTCAAAGTGGCCACGTTCTTACTGGCGTCACCGTGGCAGTCTCCGTTCTTCGCCGTGTACGGGTAGGTCGCCACGGGCTGGCCGCCGTTGTCACGGGTATACCTGCGGACGAAATGGTGTCTCATTTGTCTGTGAAATGGTTCGTTCTCGTGATGAGCTAAAACACGTCGGATGATGTGACTTCAGTCGACAAACGTCGCACATAACAACGTGAAAAATCTTGTTAGTTATCATTTTATATTTATACCTTATTTTATCATCGATTGCCGTTGGTGTCGGCGCCTTCAGTTTGCAGGCAGCAAAGACAGCCGCGTGAAAAGTATTCCTTGACTCGTCGGCGAGGCAAGACGACAGTGACTTGCCGGTGAGCCACGCGATTCTATACGGCGCGTCTTCCAACGGGTCGGTAAGTAAAACCCGGGCTCTGTAGCATGCGTGGCAGGCTGCCAAATGATCCAGACAAGGCATGAAATACCCGCCATTTTCCCTCCGGTGCCCGTCCTCTCACTCACTCAAACGCCTTGTCCATCCAGCCGCCCTCGCATCCGTTACACCCGTAGTCCCTGGTGCAGTCAAGGACCTGCTGCACGCTGAGCTCGACCAGCTGGTGACCGGACAGCTTCCAGGCGCCCTCCAGCGAGCCCATGGCCGCGAAGGCCCAGCTGGAGCCGCATGCGCCCTGGTCTGGGATCGGGGTGACGGCACCGTGGTCGCGCCAGTCGACGCTGGCTGGCGCTGTCTTGCCCGACATCTGCCGGACAGAGTACGATGGTTTCAACAGCCGACGACGTGCACAGCACAGCGGAGAGGTGCTAGCCCAGCGGGGAGATGGGCCGGGTACTTCCCCAGCGGGGAGATGGGACGGGTTGCTGGCTCAGCGAGGAGATGGGGTGGGGTGTTGACCCAACGAGGAGATGAGGTCAGGCGCTGGCCCAGCAGGTAGGTGGGGCGGGGTGCTGGCGCAGCACGGAGATTGGGCAGGGTACTGGCCCAGCAGGGAGACGGGGCGGGGTGCTGGCGCAGCACGGAAATTGGGCAGGGTACTGGCCCAGCAGGGAGATGGGGCAGGGTGCTTGTTCAGCGGGAGAAAGAACGGTGATTTACGGCAACACCGTGGGAGGTGGGCCCTGTGGTAGCGTTGGGTCTGTCAAGTGCCGCGTTACAGCAGAGGCGAGTGGTTTTGAGGATTGTGTACTAAGTGAACGAAATCAAATGCACCACGCAAATTAGATTCGAGCACTGATGCTGGTTTCTGGCAAAAGTTTGTAATTCTAGATCGCGATGCAGGGTTCGCGACGACAAACAGGAGAACCGCTGACTCCACCTGGTGTGTCGCGTGAGATACAGGGCTGCCAATCCTCGGACCGTTGTACAGATTGCCGAGCTCTTCGTTGGTGAGGTCAGCGAACTTGTTGATCGCCATGGTAAAGGTGTGCTTGCCTTCGGCGTACTCTTTCATATGCTGGGACACGATGGCCTTGTTGTCCGCGTACACCTGAGAACATCCCGTGCGCACACTGAATCGCGGCAAGTTGACAGCAGTTGACGACAACGCAACTGGTAATTATGCCAGCAGTTGGTAGCCCGAATCTTTCGCACCCATGAATCGACCCTTTAACCTTTTTCACGTGCTCGATAACGTGATTGATGACGTTACAGATCATGAAGAATGCCTCTCAAGTAATCGAATTTTTCAAATGAATTCAAGGCTCTTTGACACCCTTAAAATTACTCGTCTAGCCTCGTAATCGTCACCAAACGGGCGAGTGCTGTATTGCGGTTTAAGATCATGCGATCCTGTTCTGCTCTGTGTGTGTTTGTGCTCTGCCGTCATTCAGCGATGTTTCGAATTCTACAGGCTGCAATAACTTACGTTACTCTGCCACGAGGACTTGTTTCATAATTAAAACAAACCGATCACATTTGAGATAAGAAATGTCACAAATGTATTAGCCACCTACGCTCGGAAGAACCATTCAAATGTGCCAACGGCCACTTCGACGTGAATATTCAAGCAAACAGTTGCGAAAACCTGACAATCGAGACCAGCTGACTAACTGATGGCAGTAATTGCCAGAGAATAACCACCAAAGCAAGGCTAGCTGTTTCAAACATTCAAAACGCTAGCGTTGCGCTGCAGCCTGCGGCCCGGCTTGTGGCCCCTGGCCGGGGTTTCCGCGGCAGCCATAATCACGCACACCAGCTTGCGCTCCGTTTTCTCGGGCCGTACTCGCTCATGAACGTCTGAAGCCACATAACACCGACCCTAAACGCATTATCAGAACATGGTTTCGACCATCGACACCCAGCAAAATTAGAATGATGCCGGACAACAATATCTCCGGAAGAGACAGAGCAGAGACACGTATTGAAGCGGAAGTGTAGTTTTCTTTTCAGTTGTGGTTCCAACTCGCTAACTGAGCAGGAAAGTGGGTCAAATCTTGGGAGTACCCTGTTTGAAGCATGGTTTAGGGATTATGTTCAGCCATTTCCTTTTCAGCCGCCCCGAACCTATCTTGCAAAACTGCAAGCCCTGTGGTAGAGGCATAATGGTCGTGGTCCCCGACGGACTTAGTTCCATACTACTTCAATGTTCAGCCCACAACGCGGCCCCGAGGTGTAAGGTGTCTAAATCAAGACGGAGATGAATCAAAACCGCTGTAAGGTAATTGTTAGCTTACACCAACCAAGTGGCGGCAGCACAGTTTTCAAGGATGTCAACTGTATTGAAAGCAACTTGCAAACTGAATCGCATTCTCGTGCTGCACTTGACACAAAAATAGCCTACCAAATGAATGAGCGCAGATCTACAGGACTGCAATTTCGGATTTTAGAACTTAATTTTTTAGGACATAAATCTGTAAGCTATGTTTTTGAAAATGCAAGAAATATACACCGATTGTACGAAGTCTCAGACCAACAGAACATATTTCATGTGAGCAAAAGAAATCCGCGTCAATGGCACGTTTCAGGCGTATATTTTTCTCCTTTCTAACCACTTCGGTTGCGCAGTTGCTTAATTCTCATGTCAATCTTGGCGAAGGGTCTTTAGTTTAAGGCTGGCTTCGATAAGGTTCTCCTTGATGGGGTCCCCAAGGCAGCCGTAGCGATTGGTGTGTGATCGTTCTCTCTCAGAATTAGCGATGCGCCAACTTGCGCCGCGGTTGTTCGCTGGCGGGTACCGTCTGCCCGCAGAGAACCCTCGGTAAGACAACCCAATCCGAGGCGAGGCCTCGCCCTGAGCTGTCAGAGCTTTCCCTTGACCTCCAGCTTCGAAAAATCGGTACAGGCCTCTGCATGCCTCATCCTATGGCACGCAGCCTGACAGCAAGCGCGTGGTCAAGACCGACAGGCAGGTTCCGGAAGGGTGCCGAAATTGTACATCTGCCTTGTGCAGTGTACAATGTATGCGGTCGGCGTTGATCGTGGGGGATCTCATCTGTGCTTCGCTGGACAAGGACAACCAGCCATGGCGGGCGTCGACTTAGCCAGGTGTTCAGGACATTTTTCACCCATCCAGATTGTGAATGTGTTTTTGACCAACGTTCCAGTTACCCAGTGGATGGGAGTCTTCGTTAGACGTGGCTATCACCAAAGCCGTATAAGAGGTTGTCAACTCTCCGAACCAGATCAAGCACAGGGATATCGTGCCCAGTCACTGCAGTGACGGTTCCTTAGCACTCCTACTTTGAACGTAAAACGCAACTGATTAGCAGCAAAAAAGAAAAGAAAATAGAAATAGCATGCCCAACCACCGCCAAAGGACTACTCATGCGTTCCTACGGGATCTGACTACGGCCGGCTGAAGCGCTGTCTTGACACCTTTTGACCGGATGAACAGTGAGACGCGTTCTTAGCCATCGCGAAACCGCTGCCTGACAAGCTTGCACCCAAAGCAGGAAAACAAGGCTCACCACCAGACATCTCGCTCTGTGTCGGACGCGATTTAGGAGGTCATGGCACTTGGCTGTGCCCTTCGTCACACTGACGCCATGCACAGGCAACTGGATGGCCGAGAGCGTGCAGCCATCCGATCCGACCGCCGCGAAGACAGCTAATGACGTATAGAGTCGCCGAGGCCGAGAAACGAGCACAGCGCTGTCCGCAACATCGCCAGTGGCAAGGGAACATCGCCAACAAGGCTGCCAGATGAGCTGGTGGTCCAGGTCAAGGGGCCCGTCACTTACAAGAGGAAGAAGAGTTCCGACAAGGCATTGACAACGACTCCGATGGGCACACGGGATTTTCCGCGTTACACGAGTGCGCACCGGTTTTTTACCCACGACATGTTACCGGACGTAATCTAAACTGCGCTACGGTATCAATGAACGCCAACGACGCTTGTGGTCGCGATGGCATGACACTAGATATTGTCAAGGCCTGCCTACTTGTTGTTATGTTATGTAAGCGTTTGCGGCACAATATCAACGTTTTGATTCCGGGATATTACCATGCAAGTGGGATATACCACATTTTGGGCTGATTTTTCGATCTGGCCACACCAGGCGCATTCAAACCAATCGCGCTCACTCACATAGTGCCTGTGCTAAAGGAGAGACTGGCGTGCGAGAAGCTTAAGACACATTTTACATAAAATGTCCTGATATGTCGGGCCAGCACGAGCCATGCACGAGCCATCGAACCAAGACGACAATCCACAGCATTGCAGGTAGCATATTTCAGCCATGATGGATACTGGCCAGATGGCGCTGGTGCGATTAGTTTAGATACAAAGGACATCAGACTCCGTCCATCACCGCTTGCTGCCGGATGACACTGAGATTTGACTCCGTCCATCAATGCTTGCTGTCGGATAGCACTGAGATTTGACTCCGTCCATCATTGCTTGCTGTCGGATGGCACTGGGATTTGACTCCGTCCATCACTGCTTGCTGTCGGATGGCACTGAGATTTGACTCCGTCCATCACTGCTTGCTGTCGGATGGCACTTAGATTTCACGACGTGTTGCATCCATGACTATTTATTTACCTTCAGTGGCGTTCACAATCGACGAAATGTTAAAGTCGAGAAGCGCCACTCTTCCCAGTACCTGAATGGTGGACCGGGGCTTGTCCACGGATTCCAGTTTGTCTAGTGCAGTAAGAAGTGAAAGCTATCGTCATTCTACGGCGAATTCGCAGCGCACCAAGAATGTTTTATTCTACGGGATGTCACGTAGAACCTTTGCCGGACGTGTTCGCAGCGCGACTCATTTTTCGCAAACATCTTCGTAGCTGTCATGAATCGCTGTTTGTATTCTTACACTCATGTTACTTGCGAACGGAAATCTTGAGTCTTTGCATGCATAGCTTTTATGCCATTTGTAGCGTATACAGCGCGTTTTCGTCATTCGTGGTCGATACGGGGTACGCATCGACCACGATTTGATATTTCTATTTTACATATATATATATATATATATATATATATATATATATATATATATATATATATATGTATAGATATATAAGTCCTATTGACCACAATAGGAATGACCTATTTATAGTTCAATCTATCGCACCATATCTGTCGCAATCCAGCCGAGTAGCAGGAAACAATTCTGCACGTCAATATACGTGTCGTCACGTATAACCTTCGTAGCCCGGGTCACCGCGAACACCGAACGGCGCAAAATGTATGGGGTATAACGTCATGAGTGACATCGACATAACAGATTCTGCATCGTCCGGGTCGCTGTAAATACACCCCTGGTGCCGAAAAGCACTTAGAGTGTACGGATAACTGTCAAAGTCCGCAACAAGAGACCCGTAGCACATGGACGAAGTTGTTAAATATGTGGTTTATGCCATTACCTTCATCCTGTAGTGCTCTTCGACTGGGTCCCTGTAGACCTTGCTGTACTTTTCTTTGTAGGCTTCCCATTCCTTTCGCTCTACGAAGGCGGATGTCACAACAACCAGCACGGCACCCAGCAAAAGCTTCATGACGGTGACTGCGACCAGATCTGTCGCTAATTCAGCGTCATGGCACAGCCACTGAAACGTCTGACGTCCATGCTGGAAAAACGGGCTCGATTCCCGAAATCAGCTGCGGCTTCTGGACACTAATGTCGCCAATGTCATGCCATTTCGTCACACCAATGTCATGCCATTTCGTCGATGTCACGTCAACGTCACGTTGCCGAGATCAATAGCGGACTACGTAATGACGTGTGCTACACACGACAAACCCTTTTGTAGAGATTATGTAAGCAACAGCTCAGTGCACGAACAATCACTTACCTGCACGTGGCAGTTTTACCTGAATGTTTAAATGTAATGAATTGCAGATTATCTCTGCCCACACAACATGAATGGGACAATAGCAAGCGCATGTCAGATGGTTGTAATTGCCATGATGCCTCCCAAACTCTGACCAGAAGCGGAAGTTAACTCAGACGTGGACTTTCGAAGAACGCAATCACGCTCTTACGCCATGCAATTACGCTTTTACGAGCATATAATCAGCACCACATCCTGACAATCACTTACAATCCCTCGGTAACACTGACACTGGAGGTGGCTGACAATAATACTGGTGCTCGCTGACACTGACCATTGTTGGCACTCCGTAAGCGACATCTCACCTGTCTGGTCCACGGCTAGACCCCTGCCATGAACAGGTCTGCCTTATATGCCTCCTTATCTGGCCTCACGTAGCTCGGCAACAAAGAACCGTCTGCCTTTTGTAGGCTGTTGGATATTGATAGGCGCTCTACGTTCCCTGACTCACGTACAGCAAAGGCAGCAACTTCAACCCAGCTTCGATTGGGTGTCCTCCAATAATTGCCCATCGCTGGCCGGTCGGGCTCACGTGTGGTGGTTTTTGTAAGAATTTATTTTCCCCAAGTCGTGTAACTATTTCAACTGGTCGCAATATCGCGGCCGAATGGATCTGAAATAAGTAGCGTTGGATGTTTATCTTATGTTAGAAGTGTTTTCAGTGCGTTTGTAGAGCAGTGCCATATCAGGCCGGGCGTGTCAGAGAACTTGGACGGCTTTGACCCCAGGCACGCCTGTAAGCGCCCTTTTCGACCCAGGCCATGAAGAGACATTTTCAGTTAATATTTTTATGCTGGGCTTTCGACCTTCAAGGCATCAAGAGGTACTGGTTAAGTGGCATGCTCACCCGTGAATGTAAGACGCCAGGAGGTAATGGTTAGACACCGTGTTCACATGTGAGTGTAAGACGCCAGGAGGTACTGGTTAAACGCCGTGCTCACACGTGAGCAAGACCAGCTTGAATGCCAATCTCCGCACAGAAACATCGTTCCACCTGCACCTCTTGTAGTACCTAGTACCTCCTTATATCAAGTCTGCAGCGATAAGCAGAACCTACAAATAATACGGGCGATACTCCCTTATGGTGAGGGAACAACGAAGTTGTGGCAGACTAAAAAATCATGCAGTAAACGCCAAGTAGACTGGAATGCAGCCTGGAGGAAAAGTCTGTCAAACAATTTCCTGCACCTTGACGGGCTTTTATTGGATAATCACGTGCGGGTTTTATAGCGAATTCCTTAGAAACGTACAAGCGCTGGGAATCATGGGGCAAATATTTCCAAAAGAAACATACATACTTCAGTAGTGTGTATGGGGTCTGATTAGTTTGGCTACGGTGTGTTCTTGAACAAACAGAGTAAAGTACCTCCAATAGGTGGATGGAAGACGTAGCAGGACAACGACAGGGCAGTAAAGTTCTGGTAAAAGTGCATTAAGACATTGTGTGCCACTACTTTCTGAGAATTACATATGCTGATTTCAGTACGCATTGCCACATCTCCAGTTATTTCAAACGGTGCGTCTGATTACCATTCGTGTGATACATTGTTTATTTGATGTGGTACAAACACGCCGGACGCAAGCCAGTCTTCATTTTGTTTTCCGTTGCATTCCAAAGAGAATATCTGGAGTAATTCTCTGAAGCCAGCCTCAGAATGAAGCCTAGATCCTCGACTGCGACGCATCTCCTAAACGCGAGGGTAGGAGGCGGACGTGGCAATGCCGCACTGGTTGCTACGGTTGCGGCTCATCTTGATGTAGCCGTCGAGGCCCCAGCCTCTGCCCCAGGAGTTCTTCACCAGCCAGTAGTCCTGGCCACCGTCGGAGCCGTAGCCCACCACCAGCACGCCGTGGTCCAGCCGACTGCTGCTGCATCGGCGCTCGTTATACACGCCGCCCGAGTACATCTGGAAGGACGAGTGCGACGCGTCGATGGCTACCGACACGGGGCCGTGGTTGGCAGGCGGCGTCCAGAAGGCCGGCTTCGCTGCCCTGCCTCACGTCAGTCCAGCCGCTCAGAGTGGCCACGTTCTTGCTGGGGTTGGCGCGACAGCTACCGTCCCTCGCCGTGTACGGGTAGGACGACTCAGACTCGATGCCGCCGTTATCTCTGATGTACCTGGACGCAAAATTGAAGTGCAATGCCGGTGAAACGATATTGCAATGATTGCATTAATGCTTAAATATGCCGATGCTCACGACAAGGTGCAATCCTAATGCACAATCACAGCAGAAATAGACAGACCAGGGGTTTTGGCAAATGTAAACGGCTGGACATGACAAACCACCCGTGGCCGTACGCGGCTTGGTCTCTTCTGAGGCCTACCTGCACAATTAAACATTTCAACTCGCTGTCTCCAGAGACACAAGCTAGACAAAATCTCGGAACACGAGAATCTGCTAGTATTGGTAAGCTGACAAAGGAGCTAATGTAAGGAGCTAAGCTGCTAATGTAATGAAGCAGAAGCATGCTTTTAGAACAGCAACTGCTGCAATATTCACAAGAACGAAAACCTGAGCTTGGCAAGCATGGATACATCTTGCACCTGCGTGGAAAGTATTCCACCAGCGCCAGTCACCCGTAGGTGAACTCACTGGAATGCTTGGTCCATCCAGCCGCCGTTGCAGCCCTGGTTGCCGTATTTACGGGAGCAGTCGACCAGCTGCTGCTCACTGAGCGAGACCAGCTGGTGACCGGCCAGCTTCCAGGCGCCCTCCAGCGAGCCGGTGGCCGAGAAGGACCAGCAGGAGCCGCACTGGCCCTGGTTCTTTACTGGCGTGACGGCGCCCTGATCGCGCCAGTCCATGGAGGTCGGTGCGGTCTTGCCCGACATCTGCCGGACGGGGTGAACATGTGGTCAGCAGTCTGCGAGGAGCCTCGTGTGCGCGGCCGTGAGGTAGAATGCTGCTGTGTTGCAGCTCCACCGAAGGTGGGTATTAGCTAGAGGAGGCGGATGGGGCCCGCGGGCATGACATTAATTTTACGTGGAAATCGGAAAAAGAATATCTGCGCATCCGTAATACACGTTGTCAGGATTGCTAGACTACGACACCGATGGTTTTCGAGAACGGAGGAAATTTTCATCGAGGCGATCTCTAGCCGCCGAGAAGATAAATCACGGGGGGCTTTAAGCCTACCTGGTGCGTGGCATGCGGGATCGTGCTGCCGATCTTCAGACCCTTGTACAGACTGCTGAACTCCGCACTGGTGAGGTCGGCGAACTGGTTGATCGCAACGGTGAAGGTGTGCTTGCCTTCGGCGTACTCCTTCATGTGCTGGGTGACGAAGGCCTTGTTGTCCGCGTACACCTGAGAACATCCAGCGCATGCACTGATGCGCGTGCACGCTATTTGTGCTGGTATTGCATGCTGTAGTACAACGCATCAATTAAGACCTGACGAAGGAACAGTAAGCATTGAAATAACTGACGGCTGTCTTTCTGCGACCCGATGAATGAACGGCATACCCTATGCTACGCTAAGGGGGTCAGGCAAGTCCAGCTTCTCGTGTGTGATGTAAGCCCAATTGTACTGACCAGTGCAATCAGCCGATAACAACATCATTCAATCAAGCAGCAAAAATAATCGAACAAGTAGAGCAGTAATTGTGCAACAGATGGGGAAAGGTTTCCATCAAACTGGGTGCTTGGAAGGCACATGGAACCGCGGTTCTCAAATTACAAGTTGTATATATATCTGAGCTTATTTCAAGCACAAGAAAGAGGAGAGACAGGACATCGTCACCTTCATCCTGTAGAACTCCTCGATGGGATTGGCGTAAGTCTTTTCATGTTTCTCTTTGAAAGCTTCCCATTCGGTTCTCTCGACGAAAGCAGACGCCACACCGATCAGCAGAATAGCCAACAGGATCTTCATGATGCCGATTTTGCCTAGGCAGTGTCTGTGACAGCTGTCAGCGAACGCAATAGATGCATGCTTAACTTGTAGTGCATGGTGGCTGACAATATTGCTAGGTGACAGCAACACAATTAGTGAGTATAACTCGCTTCCTTGACTCAACTCAATCTAACGTGCGACCACATGCTGGCTGGAATTTAAGTGAGAATTCGTCTCAAAGTTTCCTAAATATGTCGAAGGCAGGACTCAACCTGTTAATAAATGTGCTTCGGCAAAATTACATCAAAATTTTTCCAGCCCCAGCAAAATATCGCGAACCTGTACCAACCCCACAAAGGTACAAACGCTTCCTCGCTGGTCGCGGGGCTTGCGGTCTGAAACCCAATGATAGCTTACCTTGAACCTTCGTTGAGTGAACGCCGCCTGAAATTAACCGGCCCACTTTATACCCGGCCATATCTGATGTCATGTAACCTTTGATGCAAATTCACCCGCGCGCTCCCGACATCTGTAAGTTCACACAAGTGTTGACGTTCCCAAAGTGCAGGAAGTGGGGGTGGGGAAGACGTCAGTGGCAATCTGTGGTGTCTGCCTTGGGCTGAAAAGTTGAGCAAACGTATACGTTTGGTTTGTCGCACTCTGTCCAGTACCGTGGCGCATATATGGGGTAGTGGTAGGGGGATTTAGAATTACCCCTCACCGAACACGAGCACACTTTTTCATCATGACGCTACTTAACCTAATTCCGTGATCTGGTGATCAACAAACTAGTTTCATTTTCAGAGATGCCCTGCCTTTTGTACTGT